CACACACACACACACACACAAACACTCTTCTGGCAAGATATTTTCATAATGGACAAGCAGTTTGGTATGTAGTTGGGATGGAGGCTGATCTTGAAGCAGAGTATAGAGAAGATACTTTCATTTCCTCCCCAAAAACATTCCCCCTCCCTCTGATTCATGGCAGCCACTCAGGGAATAGTAGCAAAACACAAGACCAGGTGGCATCTGACAACCAGCCTCAAAACCTCCTTAAACCCTTTGCTTTGTAAAACATCCACCATGAAGGGCCACATCACAGCCCCTTCAGGGCAAAAGAAGGAAAATACGGATTTCTCCTGATTCCACCAGGCAGATTCAACATTAGCATAAGAACAAAGGATTTCATTTCATCCCCTTTTAAATTGAGCTCAGAGAAAAAGGATCTTTTGTGGGTTAAGACAACATGAACTCAATTCAGTTCATTTAGAGCCTTTTTTTTCTCCCAAACTCTCCCTCCCCCCCCCCATTGCAATGAGGTCAGTCTGTGTTAAGATCACATTACAAACCTCAACAAAAGCCTTAAACTCCGTTTTTCCAACTGCACGTGTGGGATAGGGATGCTCAGAGACCTCGGACTGACCACAGAGAGACCTTCTGAAGCAATTTACCAAAAAGATCCTTCCAGGATCCCCCCCCGGGGAGCCTTGGCCGGACGAGGAGGGGGCAGATCCAGACCAGGGACGGAGCCCCCTTTGCCCCCCCCCCTGGAGGGAAGGGAGGGATCCGCTCCCTGCAGGCAACAATGGAGCCGGATCTCCCCGAGGAAAACCCTGCGAGCTGCAGAGCGGGATCCGCAGCTCCCTCCCTCCTGGCGGGGGGAGGATCTCCTGGCTGGAGGGAGAGCAGCCCCACCTTCCCCGAGAGGGATCCAGAAGCTTCTCCCGAGGGATCCGGCGCCGACCGTCCACGGAAGGAGCGGAAGAGGCGGAGGGAAGCAGAAATCCAGCCGGGGGGGGGGAGGGAAGGGGCGGGGCTCCGGCTCTCCTCTCCGGCCCCGCTCCTTGACCAACTCCTTCCCCCTCCGCCCTTCCCCTCCGTGCCGGCACCACGTGCTCCGAAACTTCTGTGCCTCCGGTGGGCGTGGGTGTCGAGGCTTCCTCTGCCCATGGGAAGAGTGTCCCTCCCTGCAGGCTGCAAGCGGGGCTTCCTCCCCTGCTCCAGTTTGTGCTTGTATGAAGCCAGACACAGAGAAGCCCCTTTTAGGTTTTTCCCTTTAGGAACTCCGTTCAAAGGGCATACAAATTTGTCTAGCAAATGTTGGAAATGTAATTTGAAAAAGGGGCACATTTTATCCTACGTGTGGACTTGTGATAAAGCTAAAAAAAAAATTGGGCCAAAATATACAAAGAGAAAAGATAACAACAGGGGAACAGGTAGATTTTAAACCTGTAATGTTTTTATTAGGGATGAGATCAGAAAAAAAAACTATAGGAAAAGTGTGCATTTAATATTACAGGTCTTAACAGCAGCGAGGATTATTTTCGCACAATATTGGAAAAATGAAGAGATACCATAAGACGAAGAGATAATTAAGAAGATTTTAGATTGTGCAGAAAGACTTACTAAAAATCAAACATAAAGAAGACACAGGATATTATCAAAGGTGGAACTTGTTTTACCAAAGGTTTGGAAAAAGGGGTGGAGAGTAAGAAGTGACTTTGTATTGTTAAGCAACTTACAGGTAAATATCCAGATAACATGATGTTTATTAAGCACTAAGAAATGTAATAAATAGAACATTAATAAAATTTATTTTTTTAAAAAGTGCCAGTATTCAGCAGCCATCTCCAGTTACTTTTTTTGGTACTTTTACTTTTTTGGTGTTCCTTCCTAACAGGATAATACATGATGACCTGCCATCCTGATAATTAAAATTGGGTGGGGGTCTCTGAGCATGGAAGGGTTTCCTCACATCCTAATCCCCAGAGACTCCAAAACAGGAAAGAACAGAGTTTGGGGGAGCATCTCAAATCTCCTGCTTGTTCCCATAGAGACAGCACAATGTAACAGGGAAACAAGCCTGAATATATTGCTAAGCCACTGCGAAATAGAAATGATTTTTTAATGGTTTTATTTATATCCTTTATTATTTTTACAAATAAATCAAGGCAGGGAACATATCCCACACATCTTCCTGGCAACAACCATGTGAGGTATGCTAGGCTGAGAGAGAAACTGGCCCAAGGTCGCCCATCAGCCATTCATGGTCAAGCAGGACTGGAACTCAGGGCCTCAGGGTTTCCAACGCAGGGCCTTAACCACTAGACCATACTGGATGTCCTGGGTATTGGTTGGGAATGGTCATCTTTGAAGATGGGGGGGCTTCAACTCCCAAAATTCATGCTGGCTGGGAGATTCTGGGAGTTGAATCCACACAGCTTAAAATTGTCAAAGTTGAGAAACACGGGTATGGACATATGTAGGCATGCATCAATCTCTGTGTAGACACACATGCGTGTTGGAGGAGTGTGCCTCTAAATAAAAACCACCCTGTGCTCAAGGACGGTAAGAATTCAAATCCACATTCAAGACCCCAACTTGTTCGAGGCGAGTGTGGCTGTCGGGGCCCTTGCTCACTTTCGCAACAAGCATCTGAAGGAGGAGAGACGTATTGGGTTTTTTTAAATTAACAAACATGTAAAATACACACACACAAAACTTAGACGTACACCACATTTACACAATNTGGTGAGGTTTCTCTCCAGTGTGGATTTTCTGATGTCTAAGAAGTCCTGACTTTTGATCAAAGCATAAGTTACATTCCTCACATTTATAGGGTTTTAGTGTTGGGGGGCTCCTGAGATCTTTGGCATTTTTTCCAGAGAAAAATATCTCACCCTCCAAACCTGGACTGGATCCACTTCCCACATGGACCTTCCTGTGGGTCAAAAGGAGGGACTGGAGAGCAAAGGATTTCCCACACTCTGAGCACTTATGAGATTTTTTGTGGTTTTTCGGAGTGCTGCTTGTGTCTGAAGGGGGATTCAAGAGTTTCATGGACTCCATCCTTTCTGGCAACTGCTGCCTTGGACTGATTTTCTATTATCTGTTGATAGTTGGTTTGCAGGAAAATCTTTGGTGACTGTTGTTTTCCTGCTGATGGAAGAGAAAAGAAGAGAGAACAGTATTTCCTTTTGAGATTGATAGAGAATCACAAAATCTTAGGGCCGCCTGGTTTAGGCATTTCGAAAAAACTTTACATTTATGGATGGCAGCCTGGTGGCCACAAGCTTTTTGTGTTATCTGAGAACAAGACCAGCCTCAAAACGTCCATAAAACTTGTCCTTTGTAAAACATCCAACAAAGGACTGCCACATCACAATCTCAGAAAGCAAGGAAAATATTGATCTGTGGAGATTCTGCCCAACTTCTCAAAAAAAAATAATCAAACTAAACATTAGCATAAAAACAAAAAATATTCAATCCTATATTTTTTTGATTAATTAGAAGGAAAAAGGATCTGACATGATATCAGTGTTCCAATATTGGAGGGGCTGCCTTAAAGAAGAGCCACTCAATTTATTCTTCAAAGCAGCTGAAGGCAGGACAAGAAGCCGTGGATGGAAATTAGAAGAAATCTTTTGAAAGTGAGAAAAATTAAAAATTAGGAAGAGGTTGCCTCCAGAAGATCCGGGTGCTGCATCACTGGAGAATTTAAGAAGAGACTGGAGAAGGGCTTGTCTGAAATGTTAGGGGTTTTCCTGCCTGAGCAGAGAGTTGGGCCGGAAGTCCTCCAAGGTCTCTTCCAACTCTATTATTTTGTTACTCTGTTATCCATTTTTGGGTTCAATTCATTTCAATTCAATTTATTAGATTTATAGGCTGCCCAATCCCGGAGGACTCTAGAAAACGTGCAGAGAAGAGCAACCAGGGTGATTAGAGGACTGGAAGCTAAAACATACGATGGATGGTTACAGGAACTGGGCATGGCTGTCTAAAGAAGGACCAGCAATGACATGATAGCAGTCTTCCTATATTTGAGGGGCTGCCACAGAGAGGAGGGGGGGGGGTCAAGTCAACCTATTTTCCAAAGCACCAGAAGGCCAGACAAGGAATAATGGATGGAAAATGACCAAGGAAAGATTCAACCTAGAAACAAGGAGGAACTTTCTGACGGTGGGAACAATCAACCAATGGAACAGAAGTTGCCTTCGGAAGTTGTGGGAGCTTCATCACTGGAGGCTTTCAAGGACAGATTGGACACCTTGGGCAGAGNTTCTTCCCAGAGAGCCTGAAATCCATAAGGAGAAAGAGCCTCCATCAGACCTGAGGAGCATCCGGGTACCAGGCGCCTCGGGGGAACCAGGTGTCTGGATCAAGGTGCTGACAGCCCTCCCCCCATCATGTGCTTGGAGGGGGCGGGGAGATGTCAGAAGCCCCCTGAAGTAGCCAATAGGAGTCGGGTTGATCCCGGCTTCTGAGCACATCAGCAACTACAGTGCATTCACTAAGTATTCAGCCCTTCTTCACTTTTGTCAGTTTAGTTCTACAGTTGTTGAAATTCTTTTTTTTTTCATTACTCTGCACTCAGTACCTCATAATGCTGAAGTGAAAACAGAATTTTGGAAATGCCTGTAAATTTATTAAAAAAAAGAAAACAAGTGAAATAGCCCATTGGCATAAATATACATATCCTTTGCAACAAGACTTCAAAATTTAGCTCAGGTGCCTCCCGTTTCTCTTGACAGCTGCTGACATGTTTCTCTACCTGATCGGAGTCCACCTGTGGTAGATTAAATTGATTGGATATGACAATGATCCTAAACGCACAGCCAAGAGACCACAGGAGGGGCTTAGGGGAAACTCTACGAATGTCCTAGAACGGCCCAAGCAGACCCCTATTGAACACATCTGGAGGGACATGAAAATGGCTCTCCACCGACGGTCACCATGCGACCTGACTGAGCTTGAGAATATTTTCAAGGAAGAAGGGCAGAAAATCCCCCGATCCAGATGTGCAAAGCTTGTCGCTTCCTATCCAAAAAGACTCCAGGCTGTAACTGCCACCAAAGTTGCTTCTTCAAAGTAACTGAGTGAAGGGTCTGAATACTTATGCCAATGTCTTATTTCACTTTTTTCCCCTTTTTTAATACATTTAAAGACATTTCTAAAATTCTGTTTTCGTTTCTCATAATGGGGCACTGAGTGTTGATTTAATGAGAAAAAAAAAGAATTTCGTTTTTATTAAGGATTTACTTTTATTAAGGATTATATTCAGAGATCAAAGAAAGAAACTCAATACAATATGTACAGTATGTCTGTGAATATACTGTGCATTTCAACATATGAAAGACAATGTGAAAAAAGCAAAAAAAAAAAAAATCCCTCCAAAATAGACAGTAAGAAAAAGAAACTTTCCCTCTTCATCCTCAGCCAGCAGATTCAACATCAACATTTTATCTCTAAATAAGCTACCAGATGCATCTTCCTTCCATCCCTCGCTCCATTTTCTCCTGTCTAAATCTCCAGTTCTCCTCATTGATCAATAAACATCCAGTAAGAATTAACAAAAATACTTGGGTGCCTTCCTTGACCTTTGTAACAACTTATGATTCAAATAATTTAACAACCCGGTTCTCTGCCCTCATGACCAGCTGGGTAGGCGTGGTGGGTGGTCATGTGACTGGGTGGGCGTGGCCAACTTGATCTCACACCAAGAGGCACCTCACCTTGGTCTCATCTTACGGCCTCTACTCAACACACCCCCCCCCAAGCCACTCCGCACCTCGCCTTATTTCATGCATTTAATGCTTAAATAAGAACAATAAAAGAGGTACACAAAACTAGATTTTATTATAAACGTTTTATAATTTTAATGAAAAACTATTATATGATACCTGACAAAAGCCAATAAAAATGTTATGTAAGATATTGGTTTTTGATTGGCGTCCTCACTTGCGATTTTCTTCATTTTCACTGGAGCATCACTGGCTGTGTGATTTACCCTTAACCATTTTTTCACTGTTGGAGTAGGATCCCATTCCTTCAGAGGTCGGCTGATTAGACTAATAGTCATTACGTTTGTTAGATTAGAAACAGGCGACTTCTCTTCTCTGAACATATTATGTTCATCTTTGAAAAACCCTCTTCCACTCCTGCTGAACTTACAGCGATTGTTCTGACAATATTTTTTGCTTTTGGACACTTTCAGGAATTGCATATTTCTGGGAATTTAAAAAAAAATGTTTTCCACAAAATCTCTATAATCATTCATATCTTTTCCACAGGATTTAACAGAGCTGGAAGAGCTTGGAGATTTTCTAGTCCAACCCCCAGCTGAGGCAGGAAATCCTATACCCGTGATGGCGAACCTACGGCATATGAGGACTTCGCCCTTGTTTTGAGGCAGTTTTTTGCCCTCCCGAGGCTTCCTTGAAGCCTCCGGAGCACGAGAAACCGTCCCTACGGGCAAACCAGAAGTTTAGGAACGGACTTCCAGGTTGCTCGTAGGGCCAATTTTTGCCCTCTGGAGCCTTCAGGGAACTTCCTGAAGGCCCCTGAAGGCTTCGGAGATTAAAAATCGGCCCTATGGACAAACTGGACATCACGATTCCCGAACTTCTGGGTTCCCTGTAAGTCCGTTTTTCACCCTCCGGAGCCTTCAGGCGGCTTCCCTGAAGGCTTCGGAGGGCAAAAAATGGACCTACAAGCAAATCAGAAATCACTCCTGGTTTGTCCATAGGGCCAATTTTAGGCCCTCAGAGCATTCAGGGACCTTCAGGAGGCTTCTCCTGAGGCCTCCGGAGGGTGTTCGGGGGGGGGGGGGGCAGGGGCGGCTGTTTTTGCTGTCCCTAGGCTCCTAGAAAGCCTCTGGAGCCTGGAGAGGGTGAAAAAAAACATGCCAAAAGCACGCGGGGGGGGGGGGAATAGCATTATGGGTATGACATGCCCGCGCATGACCCCCCATGCGTCCCCCCCGCTTTTGGCACAGGAGCCAAAAAAGATTCGCCATAAATGTCCTATGCAATTTCAGACAACAAATTATCTGTCCAGTCTCTTCTTCAAAACTTCCAGCGTTTTGGCGCATTCTGGAGGCAAGTTGTTCCACTAATTAATTATTCTAAGTGTCAGGAAATGTCTCCTTAGTTCTAGGTTGCTTCTATCTTGATTAGTTTTCATCCATTGCAGTCATTTGCTTGAAATGTCAAGGAAACCGTTGCCAGCATTTTCTGGGCTAAGCACCCGTCTGGCTGAGCAGTCAAGGCAGGTGAACGAGGCCAGCAAAGAAATGGGCGAAGAGGTGAGCTGCGATCATGAGGACAAGTACAAAGGCAGGCAAGGGAGGCAAGTGGGTGAGGGAGGGAAACGAGCGAAGAGCAGCTATACCACAGATGTGAGGATGAGTAGGAAGGCAAGCCAGGCAAGTGGGCCAAGGCCTGAGCCGCAGACATGAAGACTGTGACCTGACAAATGCGCGATAGACATATGCGTGCTGACAAAATAGCGCCGATTAAAACACGACGTCAAAATCGCGCCCACAAATTCGCGATGTCAAAATCGCGATGACAAGCACAATAAAGGGTTAGGGTTTCTCGGGATAGGGCGGCATACAAATGCAATAAACATTTCAAACATTTGTTGATGACGCGCATTTGTCGGTGCACATTTGTCGGCGCGCTATTGTTGAAAATCAATTAGCGATTTTGACGGCGCTCATTTGTCCGTGGCGGTTTTGTCGGCGCGCATATGTCTATCGCGCATTTGTCGGTGAACCCATGAAGACAAGCATGAAGGCAGGTTTGGGAAGGAGGGAAAAGGGCCGAGGATGGAGTTGGGGGTGTGAGGACGAGCACGAAGGCAGGCAAGGGGGGCAGGTGGGCAAAGAGTTGAGCCAGGGGGGTGAGGATGAGCACAGAGGCAGTTGGGGCAAGAAAAGGAGGGGCTGGGAGGGGTGGGGCCAGCCAGTGGTGAAAGAGGTCAGGTGTATGCCAGGTGTACTGTCTGTGCAGAATGATTTCCAGAGCTTGGGGTATGAACTTAATAATATAGGTTGCAGGCTTATCTTTTCAGAGGTTTTACCAGTATATAAGGAGCAAAAAGGAAAAGGCCAGCATGTAACGCAGTTTAAAGTGTGGCTAAAGGAGTGGTGTAAAAGGGAAGGCTTTGGTTTTATTAGTCATGATGCCTGCAGCTGATCCAATGAAAAACTGTACAAAGGAAGGATCTGAGTTACTTGGCATTAAATTCACAGATTTTCTGAATAGCGGGGACAGAGAATTAATTAACACAGAACGTATCGATCCCCAACAATCTAAAATTTATAGGATTATAAATGTTACAGATGTTTGTGCGGGTATGATTATCAGCCTTGCTGTCAAGCAAAACCAAGCATTTAATAGTGAGTGCCATACCATGTGCTCTAATTAAACAGGTGGCAAGAAAGTAGTGGCAGTCAGATACAACACAGGTTATGTAGACAGTAAACACAGGGTCAATCGAAATGGACTCAAATGTCCATACCAGAGGTGGTATTCAGCAGGTTCTGACCAGTTCTGCAGAACTGGTAGTGGAAATTTTGTGTAGTTCAGAGAACCGGTAAATATACCATCTCTAACTGACCCCGCCCCCATCTATTCTCTACCTCCCGAGTCCCAGCTGATCGGGAGGGAATGGGGATTTTCCAGTAACCTTCCCTTGGAATGGAGTGGGAATGGAGATTTTACACTATCCTTTCCCTGCCATGCCCACCAAGCCATGCCCACAGAACCGGTAGAAAACGTTTTTTAATCCCAACACTGTGATGTAGTTCCCATCTTCAAAAAAGGGGGAAAAATAGATCCAGGAAACTACAGATCTATCAGCCTGCCTGACCTCAATATCAGAGAAGATTCTGGAAAAGATAATCAAGCAATGAATCAGTAAACACTTAGAAGCACACTAAGTAATAACCAAAGGCTAAAATGGGTTTGTCAAAAACAGGTCATGCCAGACTAATCGCATCGCATTCTTTGACAAAGTGACAAAATTAGTGGACCAGAGGAATGCCGTCGATATAGTTTACTTCGACTTCAGTAAGG